AGGGGTTTACTATGTGCCACATGCGAAGATTAAGGAGACAAGGAGAAGTTGCTAAAACACACAAAATTAAAAAATTTAAAATATTTTTTAAACATTACAAAATTAAAAACTATATTCAAAGATCAGATGTGAGCTAGCAATACCTGAAACCTGTTAGAAGAACAGTGATCTAAAGGCTGAGGTGCGCATATTCTGAACTATTCAGCGCCTTGCCAGCACTTTAGCCCGTTCCCCTGAGGGTCTGGGTTCCCAGGGACGGACATGTGCAAAGTGTGGTGTCAAGCAAGACACTTTCATCCTGGCTCTGCCACTGGGTTGCAATGTGGCTTTATGCAAATTTTTAAAATTCCCTTTGTTTCTTCCAGCTTTTATGATCCTTTCCGTTTTGGAGGCGCACTATTAGGCTAATTTGGCAGTGTCCGCTTCATTCCTCATAGGCCCGGGGAGTGGAGGTGTATACAGGTTCCCTCCCTGATGCCTGGCGAGGAGTAACTTGTTTGGCGTGACAACTCCTTCATCCACAAAGTTTTCTATAACTGCGAAGGAATTTGTATTCACAATATGCCCTGAGCGCCATCGCTTTTTATAGCACAGTGTGGCTATGGTAAGAGGATACAGGAAAGGGCTGGTTTGGGCTGTCTTCTTATTCCTGGGGATGTTTATATCATTCCTTGGCCTGTCCACACCTTTTTCTAAGCAAGCCTCAGGAGACAGCCTAGGGCTTCTCTTCCAAAAAATAGACACAATGAAGCCAAGCCAAACTGAAGCACCTCCCAAGCAGGCTCATTTTTCTTATTTTAGGGTGGGGGTGGTCCCTAGAGAGGGACCTCATGATAATCAGAGGACTTGGATTAAAATTCAGGCAAAGTAAAACCACAGGAAAAACACCTAGAGGTGGGAAAAAGAAAGAGCGAAACTTGGAACTGCATCGTTTCTCCATCACGAAAGTCTGGTTTCTTAGAAGTGACCATACCTGGTATAGAAACTCCCTGGGGTTTTGTTTCTCTGGGCCTTTAGATAAAACAGGAAGATATTTCAAATGCTGAGGGAGAAAGAGTGGGAGGGAGAAAGGAAAAAAAGAAGGAGGGAGGGAAGGAAAGGGATGGACCCACAGACAGACAGACATAGGCAGGGAGAGGAGTCAGAGTAGGAAAATTTCCAAATGATCAAGGAAAGATGATTCTTGAGAAAGGAAAATTTTAAACCTTTTTTCTTTAGCAGAAGATATACTACACTTCTTTCCTATTCTGTCCTAGAGGCAGCCTTAGGAAGGATCGTGTCTTTATTCTTTACATGGATGTAATTATTATTAAATAATATTCTAATCCCTAAAATCCATGCCCTCACTTCCCAGTAAGGATTTAAGTTCACTCTTTTTTGATCCTCTGGACAGAAAATCAATAGTGCCCTTGCCCCTAATATTATATAAGGGAAGCAGTTTTCTTAAAGAATAAATAACTTGGTTGGTTTTATAGTTCTTCCTCTTTACCTTCTTATTACTTCTAATAGCTAAATAAATATTAATCATAAAAAGGGACAGTATTTTAAAAAAATTATTCTATTTACATGTGTATTAATATAAATAGGTCTGAGCAGGAGTAGACAGGCATATAAAAGAGATGTTTAGGTATAACAGATACATTCATTGGACATTAATCGAGCTTATTTCAACTGATGTCTATGTGCTAAACAAACAATCTTTTCCAAGAAGGAGCTTACTTTCTCCTGAGGTTAGACAGATATAAACCAAAAGAAATAAGATCTATACCTGATGGTAATAAGAGATATGGAGAAGAGTAAAGCTACCATGGTGGTTGGTCCACATATACACGTGAATCTGGAATCGAGAAACATCCACCCGGTTAATTTTCTTTGGTGATATAGAACTTTAAAAAAAGACTTAGGGTTTGGGAGGTGTTTAGGCTCCTGTTCCTTTATGCTCTGCTGCTCTGAGATACTCTTAAGGTCAATGCCTTGAGAAATCAGCAATTTCCAGGAAAACTTAGGTCAAAGGACATATACCAGATCTCTCAGATCTGTTCATGATTCGGAAGCTCACATGCCAGTGGATAGAAACCAGTACAGGCAGGAGATGGATTTAGCTGAGTCTGCCCTCTGCTGACAGAAAGAGTGCCAAAAAGTCAGTAGATTTTAAAAAATCAATCTGGCCCAGCCGGTGTGTCTAAGTGGTTCGATTCCCGGTCAGGGCACAGGCCCAGCTTGCGGGCTCGATCCCCAGTCGGGGGCGTGCAGGAGGCAGCCGATCAATGACTCTCTCATCACTGATGTTTTTATCTCTCTTCCTCTCCCTCCCTCTCTCTGAAACCCATAAAGATATATTAAAAAAAATCAATCTGTAAGGTTTAACTTTAGAGAACCCTCCGTGCCTTTGTAAAAATTATGTAGTTTAGATAATATCAGTTTTTACGATTCCATTCTTCATTCATTTACTCATTAACTACGTATTCAGCCCTAAGTGCCAGGCACTATTTTCAGTACTGGGAATACAGGGGTGAACAAGATAGAGCAGATCACCTTTTTAGTGGAGTGTACATTTAAGGGGGAGGAGATAGAGAAGAACAAAAAAAACTATGAAAATAATACCTAATAGTCTTAGTTTTAAAAATCATGCACAATGGGGTAATGTGCTAGAGATGGACACATGGACCTCTCCTAAGGATGTGTCTTTTAAACTGAAAGCTTAATACCAGGAAGCAGCCCACCAATAAACCCATCTGAGGATTAATTAATGCTGGGGTAGAGGCAGAGCTAAGGCAAAGGCACTGAGACAGGGACAAGCTTGTTTGTTTCAAGGATAAACAGAGGTGACTGCAAGCAGAGCATTTGCCTGAAGGCAGAGTAGTGCAGAAAGAGATGAAAGAGCCGGGCAGGGTCTAGATGAAAAGGACTCTTAGAGAATTTCATTCTAAGTGCAATAAAGCTATTGGAAGTATTTAAATCCAGAAGTACCATAATCATATTTCCATTTAAAAAAAAAGAGCAATCTGAGTTTTTATGAAAAGTGATTTGGATTTTATTCCAGTTGTAATGCAAGCCATTGAAAGTTTATGAAGGAAATAATTATTAAGAGAAATTAAGATTCACATTTTTAATACTCATCTGAGGATATTTTTTCCATTGCTTTTCGGAGAGAGTGGAAGGCGGAGAGAGAGAAACATGGATGTGAGAGAGACACGTTGACTGGTTGCCTCCCGAAAGCACCCCAACCAGGGTCGGAGATCAAGCCTGCAACTGAGGTACATGCCCTTGGCCTTAGTTGAACCTGAGACCCTTCAGTCCGCGGGCCGACACTCTAACCACTGAGTCAAACCGGCCAGGGCTAAGATTCACATTTATAAATATATCAGTCTGCTCCATGATTTTTTCTTAACTCCCCTACTAGATTGTAAGTTCCAAAGGACAGTGATGATATTTTCTATTTCTATACATCTTTACCATTTATCATTCCCTATTTGGAAATAATGTTTGGTACAAATCTCTGTACCTAGAATATATTCTGTAGAGGACATTTCTAAAGAGGAAATAAATTTATGTTTCTTTAATCTTTTGGTTTTAGAACCTGACTTGAATTCCAGATGAAGTGGAACTCATAAGTCATGAAGAGATCAGTTTGTTCAAGGGTTTCTGTTTTCCTTTGTTTTATTTTAATCACAATGCTAGATGCTATCTGCACCTGATCAGGGGGAGGGGGGGGTCTTCCTTGTCAGATATCGCAGGTTCATTGAGATTGATAGCTGATCTCACTAAGCGATGGGTTTACTTTCCACTAAGCAGAGCCCCTAAAATTACATGGTAAAGTTGTGGGGTGTGGGCAAGGGATGTTGTCTATAGTTTTTTTATTACTTAATTGGCTCAAAATTGAGATACCTTGGATCTATCCTTGAGAAGTTGATGATCTTGTTTCTTTTTCTTTTATTAAAATATGTTTTTATTAATTTTTAAAGAGAAAGGAAGGGAGAGGGAGAGAAACATCAATGAGAGAGAAACACGGGTCAGCTGCCTCCAGCAGGCCCTCTGCTGTGGATTGGGATGGAGCCCATGACCTAGGCATGCGCCTTGCTGGGGATCTAACCAGCAACATTCGGGTACATGGGGATGAGGCCCAACTAGCTGAGCCGCAGCGGCCAAAGTGGTGGTCAAGTTTCTTTCTTTTTTTTCTCTTTTAAAAAATGTTTTTATAGATTTCAGAGAAAGGATGGGAGAGGGAGAGATAGAAGCATCAATGATGAGAGAGAGTCATTGATCGGCTGCCTCCTGCACGCCCCCCACTGGGGATGGAGCCCCCAACCGGGGCCTGTGCCCTGACCGGGAGTTGAACCATGATCTCCTGGTTCATAGGTTGATGCTCAACCACTGAGCCATACCAGCCGGACTCAAGTTTCTTTATAATCTACTTTTGGAGAGATATAAATTGAGTGAACAAACAAAATCTTTACAAAAGAGGGACTTTCAACAAAGAAACCCCAAAAAGAAACAGTAAAATGATCATTTCTCATTACTGATAATGCGGTTTGCTTTTCGGAAGAAGCATATATGGAATTTGGGAGGGGTGGTGTTTACAAAAGTGACAAAGAATGAATTTCCTCTCTTCTCTGATGATGTAAAAAATTGTTCTTCATTAAGGTATTTACATGAGAGTCTTTTATAACTCGAATTTTGACAAAAATAAAGTGATTCAAACAACTATATAAAGAGAATAGTAATGCATAACTTGACTCACTGCAATGTAGGACTGGGTGGATGTGGGGGTAGAAATGGGTGGAGCTTGTGGAAGAATCTAGCCAGGGTAAGCGAGGCTCAGCCTGGAGCTTTATGACAACAATGTTTCTGAGGACAGAGGAATGTTATCTAGTCCCTGATTACTGTTGTCCTGCGGGATTTGTTCTTTCCCAGAACCAACTGCTCTTACTTGCTTGCAGTTGGCATACATCCAAGAGGGAAAAAATGTGAAACCCTGCCTTTTCTTTTGTTCCCTGCAGAGAACCCACCTCCGTCTTCAGTGTGGCGACCAGTGGCCTTGACCCTGATCATTTTGTGCCTGGTGCTGCTGATTGGCCTGGCAATACTGGCGTTTATGTGTAAGTCGGCACTCTGACTTGGGGGAGGATCCTGGCTCCAAGGTTTTTCTAGGACAAGAAATATTTGTTATGGAATATATATATTTTTTACTTTAACTCTAGAGCCTGTGGATAATTCAATTTACCTTACTCGAAAGTACCTACTTGAATAGTGAGGAGTGGAAGAAGCATTAAAATACAGAAATCATTTGCCAGCTAGGCTTTTATATTCTGTTTGAGATAAGAAGTTTTTGTCTCTTTGTTTATGTGCCGATATTTTAAATCAACAATTTTTAATAAATGCATGCTTCAGCTTCTTCTATTCCACAAAAGATTTGAGGCAATGGTTTTCACTCTTAAGGTGCCTGGCTCAGTGGGCTAATCCAAAAGGAAGATACTTCATTTATATTCCACTCCCTCAATATAAGGAGGAAAGACCAGGTCTTTAATCACTATAATATTTTTCAGAAGGTCCAGGAAGTTATAGAATCATTTTGCAAAAACCTATGAAAATCAAAAAAGGAAAAATGCATGCATAAAATTCTTCAAATTTCAAACTAGTAAGGACAAGTTCAAAAATGTAAAAAGGGAAGTGGACACATTTGCTTCATCAGATCAAGACACGACAGCAGTGTTCCCTGAAACAGTCAAAGAAGGTGATCAAGATAAAAGGTTACATTGAAGAGCAGGTTTTAAAGTCAAAAATTTGATTTTTACAGGAAATTTTCAAACTTTTGTCATCTTAAATTTTAAAATTAAAAAAATTAGAGTTTCTACCCTGACCCCAAAATTTCTACTTTATTTTGATATAACTAACTGCTGTTTTGCAACCACCATTCTTTTTAGGGATATGAAACAACTTTCATGATTCATAAAGGATTTTTGTACTTAGATTTAGAAACCTGAGTTAAAATCTCAGTGTTGAATTTTTTTAACCAAGTGATAGTAACTTATTCTTACTGAGCCAAACTGCAAATGTATAAAAATATAGAAGTGATAATATGACAATTTTAATGACTGAATGAAATAACGTATGGTACATTGTCAATACTCAATATGATGGGCAAAGGATAAATACATTTTTGGTTTTAGTTTGAGTAACGGTTTGAGAATATATAAAATTTTTTATTAAACAGTAAATATGGGTAAGGAATTTATTCCTGAAGTTAGAAACTGTTACTATGACTCCATATTTTCAGACAAGGAAACAGACTTAGAGAAATTCATTTGCCCATAGAAATACAATTTATTATGTACTACAGTCCAAACTTGAATATAGGTAATAAGAGATCTCAGAGCCTGAGATCATCAACAATATCTGTTTCGTCTTCCCCATATATAGAAAATAGAAATAGAAATGAAAAAATAAACTGTCTAGGCTGACTTGGTAACTTGGGTTAGTTTTTCAGTTCTACCAGCTCTCCAATACTCAGAAAGACAGCATTAATAAACTGGAAGAAAGATTGGGGAATCTCTCTCAACAACTGCACACTCTCCAAGCCGAGAACAGGAAGCTTGCAGAGACTCTGCAGTGGGTGGCTGAAAAATACTGTCGTGAGCTCTATAACAAAACCGGAGGTGAGTCCTAATCACTAAGCTCCCCCTACCCTCACAGTATCTGGCTATACAGGGCTGAATTTCCTATCAATGCACATGGGAGCCAATGTGTTAATTAACTAATTGTATTTTTTAACTAGTTGTCTGCAAACTTAATAGTTTGGACATCCAGATTATGTCCAGTTATTGGGATCATTTAGCTCAAATACATCTGCGTTAAAACACATGAAGGGATTTTTGAAATTCAGACATTTTAGACAATGCAAAAGGCCTAAGATGTGATATATCTGCATATTTAAGAAATAATAAGGAGCCTGTGCACCTAGACCAGAGTGAGTGAGCAGAAGACTAACAGAAGATGAGGTAAAGACTATTTATGGCATTAAGGGACATTGCAAGGGATTTGACTTCTATTTGGAGCAAAATGAGGATTCATTACAGGATCTTGAGCAGAGAAAATTCATGCCTGACATGAACGTTTAAAGGCTCACTCTGCAAATATGTTGAATATACACTGGAAGAAGGAAGGATAGAAACAGAGAAATCATGTAAGAGATGGCTATTGCAGTCATCCAGGTAAGAGATAATGGTGCTCAAACTAGGATATGGCCAGTGGAGATGAGTGCATGGTGGAATAAATGGGTTGTGTGAGAAAGCAAGGGTCAAAGGTATCTCCAGAGTTTTTGAGCAAAGCAGCTGGAAGCATAGAGATGTGATCAGGTAAAATGAGGAAGAATTCTGTGGTTATGAAGGGGAAGGTCAGAAACCAGGAATGCTGTTTAGGGCAGTTGGAATTTGAAATATAATTTAGGTATTCCAGTGGAGATATGGATAGGCAGTTTGGTATATAAAAGATAAGGTCCAGGCCAGAGATATAAACTGACTTACAAAGAAATCTCTTTATTTATTTGTTTAGAATTTTGTTTTACCTTATGACATATTTCAAATATACAGAAAAATACAAACAGTAATAGGATATCTATTTGTACGGACCACTCAGATTTTAATATGTTTACATTTTGACACTGGATTGTTTTTAAAATAAAGACATTTTTGTGGAATTATTGAGTTCCTCTCCTACCATATACCAACAAGGAACTTCATTATAGGTTCCCAGCTCTCAAAGACCCAAGGCCATGTTCCCACAGAGGTATTAAAACTGTGGTAGTCAGGGCTTAGTTCCTATATTTACAACCACTACCTATAGTAGTCCATCTCACCCCTGACCTATGCACTTAATTCTCTAACTTTTATGTCCATCTTAATTTCTGATCATGGAGATTTACCATTCTAACTCACACTTGGCTTAGTATTTATATATTTTTCATAAAATGTTATTCACTTGTGTTTAGAATGAGAAAAGAGTTCATATCCTATTGGTATATATTGCATTTTAAAATATCATTCTGCTATTATATAAGAGGATTTTGGAGAAGAAATTATAAAAACTTCAATTGTTTCTTAAGTACAATGCATGTAGAGTTTCTGAGCATATTAAAGGTTCTTTATGCATTGAACATCCTCTGTGTGCTGAATTGCCTAGGGCAGGGAGAAGGAAGTTCCAATCACTCATTGCTAGATTCCATATCCATGAAAGCAGGTAATGTCTGTTTTAGTTTCCACTGTCTGCTCAGGACCAATTACGATGCTTGGCATATAGTGGGTGCTAGGTAAACATTTGTAGTTATCATTGCCTGAGTCATCACATATTACATAATTTCAAGAGAGGAGAGAAAACAGACCTAGATAGAAAATAACTTATTAAAATTGGTTTCTTTCCAAGAGCACAGATGTAGCCCTTGTCCAGAAAAGTGGAATTGGCATGGAGACAAATGCTACCAATTTTATAAAGAGAGCAAGAGTTGGCAGGACTGTGACTACTTCTGTATTGCTGAGAACTCAACCATGCTGAAGACAAACACACAAGAAGTGCTGGTAGGGTCCTGAGTTTCGGTCAGTGTTTGAAGTATCCTCACAAAGGTGTCTTTAAAGAGAAGAATCTAAGGAGTCAGGGTCCACAGACTCTCCCACTTATTTCAATGAGGGATATGTACCAATTTATACACATATATGTATAGGTATTTAAAAATATATGTATGAGTCCTGGCTTGGTGGCTCAGTTAGTTAGAGCATCCGCCCCTACACTGAACGGCTGTGGGTTTGATTCCCGGTCGGGGCACATTCCTGGGTTGCGGGTTTGATCCTTGGTCAGGGAACATAGCGGAGGCAACCTATGGGCATCCCTCTCGCACACCAATGTTTCTCTCTCTCTCTTTCCCTTCCTCTCTCTAAAATCAATTAAAAATCCTCAGATGAGGATTAAAGGAATGTATCTATGGACATTTCTCTTTCTCCCCTTCCTAGTCTAAGATATAAATCACCCTTCCAAATTCTTCTTTCACCTCTTTTGACATTAAATCTTTTCATTATTCTCTTCTCCTTCTTGGTCAGTCCCTTTTGCGTGTATTTCTAAAGGTTACTTCCCCCATTCCTGCGTCATTTTTTCTTCCATTTCCCAGAATCGCTTCACATCTCTTTGTAAATCTGCCTCCCATATATATATACGTATATATACATATATATATATATATATATGTATATATACCCATTTTAGTGTTTACTCTGTGACTTGAAAATAATGGGTCACTTGTAAATCTTGGTTGATGTGATTCTTTGTTTCAGAATATCAATATCTCTCATGCTTATTAAGACAAATGAAATTCTTTAACTTGGACAAGTTAACTGACCTTAGCATAGATGCTTTTCTCTTAAGTGAACTCTTATCTATATGAGGCAGGAGTCATGTGCTGTTCTCATATTAAAAGCGTTGGCTGGCACTACACATCTCTGTGTATGTATTATAGTATCTCTAAAAGCTAAACGTTGTCTTGTGGCCTCTGCAGCAGTTTGCCGTGCCTCGGAGCTACTCTGAGTTTTTCTACTCTTACTGGATAGGACTGTCCCGCAACGGCAGTGGCCAGGCCTGGCAGTGGGTGGACGGAGCACCTTACACCTGTGAACTGTAAGACTTCGTAATATTTTGTGTGAAAGGCATGTAATAGAGAGGTATTGCTTGAGTGACAGAGTTCAACAAATTGGTTCAACAAGCGCTAATTGAACATCTGCTTTGTATTGGATACTGTGTTTGTAGGAGGATGTCCTGAGGGGGACAGATAAAAGTGTTAATAAAATTGTAGGAAATAGGACATATACAAATGAATCATTTTTAGCTTACAGTTAAGTAAACTGAGACACACAGAAGGTAGATAATTTTTCAGATGGCTGAAAAGTATATGTTAAAATTGGATTATAACATGTACCATAGTTTTAGTTAGAAATAGTTTTTGTTATTTTGGGTGGCCTGATGTTTCAAAGAATGACTATGGAAATTGTGGAGCTGAAAAGAAAGATTGGTGACTCCATCTTTCCAGTAAACTCATTCTGGGCATCTAGTCTATAATTTTTATCAAGCTTGGAGTATTTTCTATGTACTTTCTGAGTATTTAGTATTTCTTTCTAGAAATGAACTATAATTAACTTTTTTTTTTTCTTTTTTTAAGGTTTAAGATTAAAACAGATGGCACCACTCTAAGAGACAGGGACTGTGCGACCATTTTCAATGGGATGATTTTCTCAAAGGACTGCCGGGAGTTGAGGCGGTGTGCATGTGAAAAAGCGGTGAGCACAGTCAAGCTGGAGACCCTCCTTTAGCTTCTCTGAAAACCATTACACGGAGGTGATTGACTCTCCCACTCAGATTACAACTTTGCTCTGCCTTCTGAGAAACTGAAGATCAGAACAAAAGTCAATCTCTTTATGTGCACTTGTAATAGTTTGGTTTCAAACTATTCTTTCATTTGATCCATGTTTATACAACAATTCAACAAAATGTTTGAGCCAAGCAAAGTCAATGCAAAGGATATTTGAGACATAGGGAAATGGAAAAGCAATCCCTCTGACCAGCACAAGAAGGATTTTCATTTCCTGCTCTAGATCACCAGCACTTCTGAGCTTGGAGGTTCATGCACATAGAGGAAGCCCTGCTTACCTGCCACCAGCTGGCCCCAGAAACCCATCAAGCTGTAACCCACCTTCTTGATTTTGAGATAACATTCTAGTGTTCTTCCCTCCCAGCATCTAATATCATTTTCTGTTTCCCTTTCTTCCTTAGACAGTGGGAGGAGTAGGAAACTTAAACAGAGGCAATAAATGTGTGCGACATTCTTTGCTCCAATAGTCAATTAGTCCATGAAAAATTAGCAATAATTTCTTATACCGAGCTACCAGATACAACACTAATTCATTTTGTTTGCTTAAGTTCATATTTTTTTCCTTCTCAATTTCTCGATAGAGCCCCCATCTGCTGTGTCTATGGCCTACTTCCTACCTGGCTAATTCTCTTTATTAGAATCTTAACTTCTTACTAATGTATCTCCCCATGTCTATTTAAGGGTCCAATGATTATCTCCTTCCCCTAGAAATTTCTTCTAGGATAGAAATATTCTCAATTCGGTTCCATATCAGAATTGCTATTCCTGATGCTCCCTTCAGAGAGACTGAAGACCAGAACAAAAGTCAGTCTGTTTATGTGATCTGTTATGTGCATTGGTTTCAGTTCCTATTTTCTTCTACTTGATCCATGTTTATACCTTTCAGGTACTGAAGATTTAATAATAATAAATGTAAATAATGTGAAGTGTGTGTTATTTTAGAATGGATTTGTGATTTGGGGGAAAATTCAGTATGAAAATGCTCTCCGTAAGATGACAGAAGTCAGTGTTTTGATTGTTTGCGCCTTATTGAGATTTTGTATGGGCTCTGCAAGAGTACAAATTATTTTATTATTCGAGGAAAATAAGAATTCTTTGAGATGAATTCTGTCTTCGAGAGGATGGTTTTAACACTTTCCTAAAATGAAATCCTTTGAGGCAAGAGTATGTCATCAACATGTGGCTCAAGATTAGTAAATGGAATTGCAGTAGGGCAGGTTATCCAATCAGGTCATGGAAAGGGAGAGACTGTGACATACACAGCTGGGTCCCTGTGGAGGCGTCCTTCCTTGGGATGACAATGCACAGCCATACAGGGGTCATTGCAAATAACACCATCATAAACACTGACTTCGTTTGTTTATAGATAAATCCACTTTAGGGCTTTAACACTAGAAAGGATAATTTATTATAAATCTTTATTTTTTAAAGTTTTTATTGATTTTAGAGAGAGGAAGGGAGAGGGAGAGAGAAACATTAGTCAGCTGCCTCCTGCACACCCCCATCTAGGGATCGAGCCCACAACCTGGGCATGTGCCCTGACGGGGAATCAAACTGGTGACCTCTCGGTTCATGAGTTGATGCTCAACCACTGAGCCACACCGGCCAGGCTAAATCTTCATTTTTCAACAATGGAAACTGGAATCCTTCAGTTTTATTTTCAGTAAACTTCTATCTTATGGTGAAATGACATGAAGTTAGCAAACATATGATCAAGAGAACACTTATGCATTCATTTTCATAAGACTATGTCACTTATCAATTACTAATTGCAAATTTCTTCCTTTAGATTTTTCCCTTCAATTTTATGTCCATTGACTAGGAAATTTCTTCCAGTGTTAAACACATTTTGTGTTGATTTATTGTGTTGTGCAAAGAGAACTGTATTTCTGATCATAAAATGAGAATCCTTTATTTTGATTTATTATTACAAAATCACTTTATTTCAAGAAGCTTATTTCATTAAGTATAAAGTGGAAATATTTATAATTTCCATACAGTATTATGGTTAGCTGAAATGAGGTAAATGTGAAAATACTTCCATAATCTAAATAGGAATATAAAATTTAAGGTATATTAAAAATACTCAAAAAGGGGGAGAAGGAATTTAGTGGTTATTTTAAAATATAGGGAAGCACAAATGAGCATAAACAACCTTCTTTGGAGACATATATTAATGAACAAATTATAGAGAGGCACCTACATGGGGAGCTGTGTATATTAGCAAATATTTTCCATGATGAGTGCAGATATTTAATGCACACAGTTACTGCAATAATCACATAAAAAGAAATGTGGATTAGGCCTTTAGTTAAGCAGTTAAGTGTTATTTATGCCTTGCTACTGCGGCAAGAAAATACAGTTAATGTGAGAAAGTCAAATGACTTTGTGGACTAGTAAAATAGAGACAGGTTTTGATCCCCGTGTTCAGGGTTGGACGAGAAGTGTCTCTTTAAATGACATTAGTTTTAAAGAGTCTAGCTGCCTAGAGAGTGGGTGCTGAATAGGATTCTCTCTCCAAATCTGCAACCTAAGGGAAAGTGTCACCTTAAACAGTGAGGAAGGAAACAAAACACATTTATTTGACATTTTTGGCTACTCTTGAGCTTATTTCTCTCCATCTTTGCCCTCAACAGTCCCTTCACCTGTATAACAAAGCCCACAATACTGATCATAATATGAGCAAGTATTTCAAAAAACAGAAAAGGAGTATGGCACAACATTCTTTCCACAATTTTTTAAAAATTTAAAAATGAAAGCAATCATAACATGAATTCGAAAATATGGTTTGCTGAGATCAGTTTTCCATTGAGAATGAGAGAGGGCAGCGCCCCCTAAATTGGTTTTTCAGCAAGAGAAGGCCTTGTCCAGCCTCTCGTGTGTTTAGGTAAATTGTGAAGCAATTGCAGGAAAAGTCAAACAAGGAACATGGCCTTTCCTGGTAGACCCGAGTTCCCCAGGGTACACAATGAGCTATTTCTTTTCCTGAGGATATTGAACCAGCTCTTAAAATTTATCAACAGGAAACAGGTCATGAGCCCTGTAACAGCAGGAAGTGTGAGCAGTGTAATGGGAGCTTTTACTTTGGGGATATAAACAAATTAGGAAATAAATAGTCAAGTAGTTTGCCTCAGGGTTGGCCTGAATATTGGGAGTCAAATACTTTGTAAAGGGATCCTTGTCATTTTTGAAGAATAGGGAAATTGGCATAATCTGATTTAAGAGTGTACATAAGTTTTTTACAAGGTTCGTCATATGCATAGACTATTCGAATCTAACAATACTTATTCTTTCAGTCTTACTACACTAATGTTTTTCTTTTTACTCACTTCATGTACTTTAACCATACCACATTACAAAGCCTTTTTACATTTATAGGACAGAGTTTTATGTTTCCTTTCCTTCCCTTTCCCCTGTTTAAAAGCTAACTTGGAACTCAATGAGATGCATTAAGATGCCCAGTTCACTACTGGTAGGACTAAGGTGTAAAACTGGTTAGCCCAGAGCTAAGGCCCAGTCTCTTACAACTGCCTTGAAAACGGCTTTGATATTCTGGGCCAAAAGCAACCTGCAGGAAAATATCTCCCACTGGTAATACCTGTGTGGAAGCAGTGTTGCCACTGAGGGAATTTGAAGGAGCTCTGCCAGCTGCACTGTAGATAAAATTCTGCCTTGTAAATACTGCATCACAACCGGCAGGGTGACATCAGCTGAAGGATGTTTGCCTTTTGCTTCATTGTACTTTTTCCAGAAAGAATTATTAAATGCTTCCTATGCTTTCTCTAAACATAGCTCATGACAATACTTTGAAGAATCTTGAAGACAAACCGCCTTCACTACTAACAGTTGCTATTGTTCCTCTATATTCCAGGTTATTACATTCTGCTGCCAGCTGCTAGCTGTGAAAACAAAAACATGCTGTTTTCTTGGCTCTCTTTCTTTCCAGGTTTCAGCAGAAAACTAGAGAACAGTCCCTTATGTTGAAATCCCCACCATTTAAACTGCAGGCCGAGGGTAAAGAAAAAACACACAAAAACATGCCCTGCCCTTCCTTAAAGGACCTTACCCTTCAGAGGTCGCCTTTTACAATAGACTTCTGGGTTCGTTTAAATGATTTGCACTGTTTCAGTGAATTAGGTTTTATTTTACTTTATTTATTTAAGTGGTATCTTTATTATAAAGAGAGAAAGATGAGAATCCAGTGTAGCTCAGCTACTCCTTGTGCAAAATGAAAGATGTAATAAAATTATATTGGAATTAGCAAATATTTTATGAGAATCTACTGTATAGTAAGTTGTAAGGATGGTAAAAGGTGGCAGAGTAATGTAATAATAATTAGTACAATTTTCCTTCCTGTAGGCCATAAGATACTTTCATATCCACTATCTCTTGGGATCAAGCTAATCCATGTTCGAGGAGCCTGCAGACCTAGGACACAGATCGTCTACAGATGTATTTGAAGAAATTCATTCACTTTAAAAGAGATATTCTCTCCAGACGGTTGCTGGCATTTTACATATAAACTTTATCTTCACAATATTCCGGGAACATGAGCAAGGAAAGGGGTCATTTTTACCTGGAGCACACACACAAGGTGGATGCCTGGCGATAAGTGATTTACTCCAGATAATAATCGCAAGCACTGATCCAGTGTCAAACTCTATGCAAGGTACCGTTCTCAGCAACTTACATATATGAATGATCTAAACCTCAAAAATATTTTGAAATAAGTTCTATTATTGTTTTACCATAAAGAAATTGAGGCACAGAGGGATGCCGTTAAAACTGCTGGGGAGCTACCCTTTGCGGGCCAGCCCGTGCGCCCTTTGACTTGTGGGCGGTGGGATGTCACGAGAGGGCGGAGGGAGGCGCCCCGCTGGCCTTGCGGGCGACAGGCTGGCACTGGCCCCCTGACTGCCCCTGCTGGTGTGGGCGCTGCTGCTTTCTCTCTGCAGCAGGAATCTACAGCTCTAAGCGGGGCGGGGTGTTGTGTCGCAGGCCGCAGGTACCTGCCTCCCTTCCGATTTGAAAATCCACATGCCTGCGTCCCATCCTGCCAGTCTGATACCCATGCCTGGGAAACCTAGCAAATGCATAAAGGTCTGGCAGACAGTGAGTTTAAAAGGCCACATTTATTTATTTATTGAAAAAAGTAGTCAGCTAGAACTGCATCACCTCCCCGGTGACTTACAGATTTCTGTGTGGAGTTCCTAGGCACTCTAGACTAAAAAAAAACCAAAAAGCCATGACAAATGAAAATGATTTTTCTTCAGTTCATTCTCAGCCCTCTGGGTTTTGTCCTCGGGAGCGCTAAATCGGTTTTATTCTTGGTGATTTGAACGCTGCCAGAGGATGTCTGGGCAGTGCTAACGAGTGTCACCCGGTGAACATGCAAAAGTAGGTTGCGAGTCCCAGGCAAGCAGCTTAGCCCGCGCACAGGTTTACTTGCTCTTGGGCGTTTCTTCGAACTCAGCTCTTTCAGGCAGGGGATCTTAGCGTGTGCTTCTCACAGATAAAATATTTCCAGGCGGTGCAGTTGGTGGAAGAAAGGGACTTGTCTTTGAAGTAGCCACAGAGCGGGTGAGTCGACTGGGGCCTCTGGGTTGGTAACCTGGAGAGCAAGTGGGTGCGGCTGAGGTTAGGAAAGGGGCTCACAGAGCTGCTCTTGTGGGCAGCTCCTGAGAGGTGCGTAGCTTGGGTTTTGTTCTATTCTGTTTCACTGTGGCGCCCTCCTGTAGTAGATTCCTCCTCCTTCAACAACAGAGCTGTTTTCTCTCAACAAAAATATGTTAATATAATTTGAACCAACTTTGTATTAAAACACAAAGACAGGAAATTAGAATATCTGTCCTGACTCTTAATTCTCAAAATACTAAGGCACCTGATTCTGTTCACCAATTTCCCTAGGTCTATCTGAAAATCTTAGTATGGAAATTCCTTAATAATTACTGTAACCTCTTTCCCTTAGTACTCTCTAGTCATTAAGTTATACAAAGGAAATGCACTTGATAATTAGGTTATATTGTTCCTTCAGACTCTCAGATCTTGATGTAAATGTTCTAGAGGGTGGGTAGGTGCGGCGAGGCTGCAAAGGAGGAAGATTCAGTGGCCACGAAGCTACTCTTAAATTACTCAGCTTTGATTCCAATTTGAAGCCTATGAAACTATAATGCTGCTTATGTTTCCTGGAGGAAATCTAAGTTAAAACATGAAGTGAACATTTGAATTCCCTCATGTATTTTCTTCTTGTAATTTTGTGATTTTTCCCTTAGACACTTACAGGTCAGGGGAAAGAGAAGAGCCATCGGTCCAGACCCAAGGTTGGCTGGGTCCATCCTGAGACAGTCCCACCCAGTAATCATGGGCACTTTTGATCTTCCTCAGGTTGCTAGTGACAAAGTTCTATAAGAAATAAGAACCGGGCGGTGAACGGAGGGGGGCAGGGAGTAAACAACCAACAACAAAATACCATGAAACGTAAAGTGTCTCATTTTTCCTAGACAGAAACTAATGGAAACTTTACAGCTAAGAAAGAAGGGGGTGTATTTAAAAGAAGAAAGACAGTTCATAGGCTTTTTTTTCTATTGCCTTATGATCAATGTAGTGTTGAAGACCATGGGAAAAATAAGCATCTGGTATTAAAATAGTTTCAACAGATTTAGAGTTTGGCAGAGATATATGCCAAAAAAGGTAAGTGTTACAATGAAACCTCATTATCAGGAGAAGTAAAATATCCTTGACATTATAGACCACAAAGATCATTCTTTTGCAGTATGCTCTAATACGAAAAATAGTTTAGAAGATTCCAGAAGCAGCTTAACTGTAGGCATATTTTATTAGAAGAAACATTACTAATGTTTGTTACCAAATTTGCACAGAAAACATAGTGAACACCCATAATTGTAATAAGTTAGTTCAAGCTGCCTTGCTTTACTGCAAAAATGAACAAATTGTCTGCCCTTTGTTCTTGTAAAAATGAACTTCAACTAATTACTGAATATAGCAGCATACATGTATAATAAGGTCAGAAATGTGCAACTATGCATTCTACTTCACACATATAAGGGTAGAGTGATTTCACATATATAAGGGTAGAATAACTTCTTATTGTTAGTAAATTGGGTTTAATGTCCTTTCAACAATTCATTTAGCAAAGGCTTATTTTCATATAACTTTCCCTTTCATGACATCACCTCACTTTTTATACTTTTGATTTTCCTTGATAATTGAAAAAAATGTTAAAGGTTATTATACTCCCCCCCACAGCATTAAAAATAATAAATTTAAAACATATACAATTATAATATATGTATACCTTGGAGTAGATTAGCATGTCACAAATGGTATTTCTTTTACCCCTTCCAATTTTTGATTAACAAAGGACATAGAACTAACAGAAGCCCTTGATTTCGGGATATCCATCTTGTTTTTTGTTTGTTTCTCTAATTAAAGGGAACACAAACCATCCTAATTCCTACTTTGTCTCTTTTAAACCTTTATTACAACAAGTATACTACTAATATAAAATATTAAACAATTCTCTCTTATTACACTTAGTCCTTTCTTTTAACGGGTAACATGGTATTTTCAGAATGATATGAAGCCATAAAATAGTGTTTACCATTTCTTCTTTGCTCTCTATTTGTAGAAGATAAGAGTTCTCCTTCAAACAATACTCTTGACTGGTTTGCCAAATATTCCAAGTTTCAAAGACACGGTAACAACTTTTCCCATTCTGAATCCAATTTTCTGGACAAGGGCTGCAGTTAGGAACTTTGAATAAAACATTTTACTTTATTAAAGTTATTGTAAAAATATTAGAAGCACATCTCCCCAAAAGAAACCCATGTGTCGCCCCAGGTGAAGCTGAACTCTTTAACCCAGTGGTTCAGACATTGCAGTGCTTACCAATTTCAGCTTTGAGGCTCACTATAGTAAGATTTATAGAATCATTTCCAATTGCAATGGGTCTCTAAGAATTTAAGATAAAATTAACTTGGGAATGGAGTTTTTCACATTGTTCCTCTTCTATAATAATTGATCCAATTATTCTCTTTTTATAAATCTCTCCCTTCTTTAAGTTTACCTCGTTTATAGTTTTCATTAGTTTCCTTATCATTTTCTATCTGTTGATCTTATTGGCCCAGTCTAGTTGGAAATGCCCTGGACCATTAAGCAAGCTGAGTAATAATCCTCAAGTTGAGGCTTAAAATCTGAGAGTTAAACATGAAAATGTTTCATGTATAGTGGAGAGAACAAACAATGTACCTTAAGGAGTAATTTGAAAATATGTAGGTGAAGAAACTTGAACAAAGACACAGAAGTGACCAAGATACTTAATTTAAGACTTTGCTATAAGGAAGAAGTGAGCTACAATGTTTAACCAGTTCTACAGAGTTTGCCTTAAGAAAGAATGTATTCACAAAAGAAGGATGCTCATGTGTAAAACAGAATAAAACTGCAAGATTTTGACCAAGTGTTTCTGGCACAGTTTTATAGAGGAAAAGACACTGAAACTTACAGAACTCAAGTTTCTAGAGAAAGTGACAAATAGTTCATTACCAGTCTCCATGGCCCAGATGCTGAGCTATTTAAGGCTCTTCAATAGCCTTTGTTTGGAATCCATATTCATCAGGATCTTGATTATTGCTAAAGTTATAGCACAAATAGTGTTGACAATGGCAATTGAAGGGTTGGAGAACATGCTGATTTGTCAGTCTCCAAATGGGTATTGTCTTCAACTCAAGGTCCATGGCTCAGAGGTGGGCCTAAGTCATGCTTGCAACAGCCTACTATATTTAAAAACATTGTTGGGCACACAGTGATTCTTTAAACATTCACTTGACCAAAATTCAATCAGAAGGAGTTATGGTAGGATTTTTACCTCTCTCATTGGTGATTACTTGAATGGTATCCACTACGGGGAAGTTAATTCTCTAAATTATAAGTAGTATTAAATGTTAAGTAATCATAGAATACTGTACAAACTATACAATGGGTAGAAATGGACTGTTTTAGATTTAAAATGCTTGTAAGGGGTGTAAAAGATATAACTGAAATAACTTCATAGAATTTTTTGAAAAGAGCTGAATCCTGCATTGTTATAATTCTATGGTAAATACTCTAATTTTCAAAATGATTTTTTTACTGAAAGTTATCTCAATTTGAATCTGAAGCAATATCTAAACTAAGTATATTGAGGAGTTTGGAGCTACAATTAAAGATACACTAAAAAATTTGACTGGATAAAACATCTGACCTACTAATTTCACACATNACTAAAAAATTTGACTGGATAAAACATCTGACCTAGTAATTTCACACATTCCACTTCAACATTTGAGTGAATGTCGTCTTTATGTACATCTCTTGGAACCTCTGTATTTTCTACATGCTGTTGAAATACATAAATAAGATTAAAGTGGAGAGTGAATCAAAATTATGTCTCTTCTATTATAAAATGATGACTGCAATTTTGCAGAGAATAAAATGAGTGTCACTTTTTTTGGGGGGGATTTGGTTCATACATTTGTGTCTGCAAAGTGAAACATTTTTATATCAGTTACCTGATCTGAAAGAGTTTTGCCTCTGGGTTTGGCACTGTTTTATCTGGAGGTCAAGTTTTGCGTTCTGCTGTGTGAAGTTCAGCAGTGCTCTGTCCTGTTGCATGAGTTTTTCCTGCTGCTTCTTTGCAATAGCAGACACCTGAAAGACTTCAAACAATAACAATCATTTCTAAAAAATTCCTGATCAGTTATAACAGGCTAAAGACAACTACCAATTACTGATGATTTTTGTGATTTTAATTTGCATTATTTTAAGTTTTTGTTTAAAATTTACATTGTTCAAGAATTATCTACTATGCTATGCTGTACACTTGAAACTAATACAAAATAATATTGAACTTAAACTGTAATTGAAAAATAAAATTTTTTAAAAGTATATATCTAAAGAAAATGTGGGGAAAGGTTTTGTTAATAAAATTAATACTGCCCGGCCGGGCGTGGCTCAGCGGTTGAGCGTCGACCTGGGATCCAGGCGATCAGGGTTCGATTCCCGGTCAGGGCACATGCCCGGGTTGTGGGCTCGATCAATGACTCTCTCATCATTGATGTTTCTATCTCTCTCTCTCCCTCTCCTTTCCTCTCTCTGAAATCAATAAAGATATATTAAAAAGAAAAAAGAAAAAAAGAAAGAAGAAAAAAAAAGTATTCAATATGTTAAAAAAAAATAAAATTAATACTTATTGAAAACAAAAACAATTTATGTTGTTCGAGAATAAAAAACTAAAATGGATACACAGCAAAAAGACTCTTTGCCTAACCTGTCTTCTTATTCACCCAGCTCTGTTCCTCCAAAGCAACCAGGCTTACCAATTTCTTTCTTACTCTCCTAGAGGTATTTTGAATTTTACCAGCAAATGCAAATGAATATAAACTGCCCTTTCATACCTTTACACAAGTGGTAGCAACCTGTTTACATGTTTTCCACCTTTTATTACTTACAGTATATTTTGGACATAATTTTATATCAGTACATAAAGAGCTTTCTCACTATTTCATTATAACTGTATAGGATTCTATTTTATGGATGTATCATGTATGAATGTATCATGATTTCTTTTAGTAATTTTCTATTGACTTTTAGGCTGATGAATACTGTAATAAAGAACCTTAGTCATACATAATTTCTCACATGTGTAAGTATATTTTTAAAGTAAGTTGCTAGGTCAGTTTATGTGCATTTATTTAAACCACATAAGATACTTCCAAATTACCCTCCATTTATGCTGATGAAATGGTATCTCAGTATCATTGGAATTTGCATTTCTCTTTTGTTTGATGTTGAAACTTTTTGTCTACATGTGAATAAAAGTCAGTTGTATATCATTTTTTATGAAGAGTATAATTATATCCTTTGCAGGTTTTTTCACTGGGTTTCTAGTCTTTTCCTTTTGTTTTTATGAGGTCTTTACTGTGCAATGAGAGCTAATTCGAGCAGGCCTGGAATCAGCCTGAGCAGTGCTTCTAAAGTTCCTGCATGGAGCCGATCCCTGGACAAGGCATCAAACATGCTAGTTTTGTAGCTTTGCAGTCATCAGCCTGAGAATTTTTTTGGGCCAGGTTATACTAGCTTGTCAGCATTGTTTCTTGATGATTTATGATTGATGATTCACCCCTGGTTACAAGGAGACCCTGAGAAGTCTCTACTGTTGAGGCTGGTTACCTTGCAGGAATATGACTGTGTGATCAGCAAAATATAAAAATTCCCAGCAAGATTCCGTTTGGGGCTCCCTGGTAACAAGATGTTCTGTGTACATGTCTTTGGTTCCTGATTCAAGAGAGAAATTGTGTTCCGAAAGGACATTACAAGGGGAGAAAAGGACGCCTGTCTGCCCCTGGCCTCCCCAGATCTCTTCTGTAACACATATCCTTACTTTAATGCTTCGTTAAACTATATATTATCCTTGTTTTTTCTTTTTAATTTTTTAAAAAATTATCTTTTATTGTTGAAAGTATTACAGATGTCCCCTTTTTTCCCCACTGATCCTTTCTAACCCGCACCCACTCCCCACCCCAGGCCTTCCCCACACTGTGGTCTGTGTCCATGGGTTGTGCACATATGCAGATAAGTTCTTAGGTTGATCTCTCCCCACCCACCCTCAATCTGTTCCATGCTTCTGTGTCCCAGAATCTATTTTGTTCATCTGTTTATTATGTTCTTTAGATTCCACTTATAAGTGAGATCATGTGATATTTGTCTTTCTCTGCCCGGCTTATTTTGCCTCTTGTAATAAACTGTAGACCTGTAAGCACTGTGACTTCGGGGCTCACTGCCCTACAAGTCTTCTGTAGCAACCAATCCTGTGTAAGTGATTCTGTTAGTGTACTCACATTTTGGAAAAGTCAGCATTTTGTATGATACAGTGACATTTTTCCAGTTTGTCTTTTGCCTTTGCTTGTGGAAGTTTACCCCACATTGATCAGATATTTTTAGGTCATTTTTAGTAAAAGTTTTATGCCTGAGATTAAACATTTATATGTATATTTTACATTTACTTTTTGATGTTGCTGGAATTCTTGTTGTTGTAAATTATAAGATATGACTTTGATATTTCCTCCCCCACCGATGGCTACATAGCTGTCTCATATCATTTATTGAATTTTTCCTCCCCATACTCTTTATTTGCCAACTTTAACTTACTGTAAATTTCCAGTGAAGTACTTGGTTATAGAGTAGTTACATTGTTTTAAGTATATTCAATTCACCTACTTATTTTTTCATATATCAGCACCACACAGCCTTAGTTATTTTAGGTTTAAATTTATTGTAATATCCAATAGGGCCATCCCTTCTCTTATTTTCACATTACTTTTATATTAATTTTTGGTTGTTATCTTCTTACAATTCTGGCTAGCTTATTAAGCCAGTCCTTTTTAAAAATCAGGTTATAAAGTGTCTATCTATTCCTATTTTATTAAATATTTATCTAAACATGGATATTGATTTCCTTAATCCTGTTTGGTTTTTACAGAATTTCTTGAGCTGGTGGCTTAATGCTTTTAATCAATTATGGAACATACTTATCCAATAAGTCTTATAATAATATTACTTTTGCCCAACTCTGTCTTCTACTTTTGGGTTTATTTTTGTACATATGCTAGTTAGCTCTGCCTCAAAGGGCCACTTGGCTGCAATTTTGCAGTGTTCCTAATAGAGAACATTGTCATGAAGGGGAAGTTTGTGTATAAAAGAAAGCGATTTATATCTGCATGTTGTTTGCCTCCCGATTAACTGGTCAACAATCATTATAGAGTATTTAATTTCATACCTGTATATTCTGGTCTGTTTTAGTCACCAACATTGCTACTGAGAGGCAATGTGAGAAACCAAGGGCCCCGGGCTAGAGGGAGCAGGTGCTAATGCCCTGCCCTGCGGGCGGTGCAGGGCGCCCAGGCCGGGAGCCCAGGCCGCCGCGATTCCCTTTCCTTCTTAGCACAGGCTGGATCTCACCAGCGTGGGCAGGACAGTGCTGTTACTTACTTTCTCCTATTAATCACCTGCATGTTTAAACCATGAAAAATAATCTCCCTTGTAGGAATTGGAAGTATTGCCTAAAATGTTTTATTTTGATGAATATCTTAGATTAACTATATTTTTGAGGTTATTGTTGCTTTATTATTACTCGAAGAGCTTGTACCAAATGAAACTGTAATAAAACTGAGAAAGGATGTGCTGGGGTTATAATCAATTTGCAACCAGTGCAGAATAAAGATCGAGCGATATCATTACCTGGGGAAATATGAAGCAACATATTTTTTAAATATGTTTTTATTGATTTCAGAGAGAGGAAGGGAGAGGGAGCTAGAGAAAGAAACATCAATGATAAGAGAGGGTCACTGATCAGCTGCCTCCTGCACGCCCCATACTGGGGATTGAGCCCGCAGCCCGGGCATGTGCCCTGACCGGGAATCGAACCCCGATCGCCTGGATCCTAGGTCGAGGCTCAACCGCTGAGCCACGCCCAGCCAGACAAAACAACATATTTTTAACAAGGAAAATAAAAGTGCTTGTTATAAGATGTTACATGTTTTACCTAATTGATGAATCAGGAAAATGAAAAAGAATAATAAAAACAAATTAAAAAATCTGATTTTTTAGACAATGTGCACAACAGAGTTTTTTAAATTAGTAAGTCAATTAACATGAATAAGATGGTGGAGAAAACAGAAAAATCAAAATGGTAAGATGGAAGCAAGAAATTGCTTCTGCTTCCCTTGAAATGTACCTCTCCCTTCCTCCTGTGCCACCTCCTCCTTGCTCCGTGGTGTCCACAGTGTGTACATATCACGCATTTAAGTGGCCCCTTAATGAGAGCATTTGAGTTTTGTCCAATCTTTTGCCCCTCCCTATTGCTACACATGCAGGTTTATGTACAGAAAAATTTCCAGAAGTGGGATTTCTGAATCAAAATCAATGAATGCTGTTTAAGATAACCCAGCATTTGTTAAGAACATGATTGTCTTGGTTAATTAAACAGGTTTCATGAACTACGCAAAGAAGAAAGAATTAAGCATCCACAGGACAGCAAGTTTTTTGAGAACATGGGAAGTGTGCAGTATGTTTTATTAGAATCTTTAGTATGTGTTATATAGTTTTTGGCTATATAATAATTGCTGATTGGAGATGATAAATTTATTTTTATATAAAAAATTAAATTCTATAGCCTGTTGACTTGACAATATTGCTTGAAAATGTTGCATCTTCATTTAATCTTTGTTTTAAATTGAAAGTGTTCTTTGTAGTTTCTTTCATCTTCTCACCCCAGTAGTTTATAAACACCATTGACATTTATTATATAGAACTGATGCTTAAACCACATCTTTTGATATTTGCAATGTCAGTCAAATATGGACTATTTTTTAAAAAAATATGGATTCTTATAGTTAGAATAAAACTTGGCCATATTCCTTTTTTTCCAGAAGAGACTAGATTATTATATGTTAATTGGCTTATCTGTTAGTCGTCTTTCAACTTGCAAATCTGCTTCTGGTACATCTTTTTGATAAAGATATTTAAATGTGAGTTTCTTTAAAAAAATAATAAAATATATATATATATTTGATAAAGCACAGAGGGAAAATAGGGTAAAATAAGAAAAACATTCTGGAAGTTCTAATATTTATGCTAGGCTGTGAAATTTTGTTTGAGATGGGCAAGGTAACAATTGCTTTTTGAGCTCCTACTAATTATTAAAGCACCCCTCTTAGAATTAGCAGGAAAATGAATTCGTAGCTCCCATGGACAAGGTCAAGTCTCCTGTACTTTGTGGAAGCAAATCTGATCCCTTCTCTTCCTCATTTCAGAACTTACAATTCTTTGTCACCAGCTAATGCCTCCTAGATAGAGAAATGATTTGCCAAACATGCAAGAAAGAAAAATTATCTCAACAATAACCTTCATCTCTTTCTCAGCATATTTCTTTGTTAGCATGAATGATAACAATTCTTAGTCATTTTTCTGGAACTTGCAGCTCTGTAACTATTACATTTCATAAGAAAATCACAAATTTGGAAACATCTCAAATTTAGACTAAAGGGAATAAATAAATGTGATTAAATATGGCCCAAATAAAGTTTTCAGGCTTGCGTTAAACATTAAATTGTAACTTGTCTAATATAAAGTGAAAACACTTATTAAAATAATCTGCACAAGTAAAGCTTAGAATAAATGCATATTAGAAAAGGTAGGGCATTTACTGAAATTTTTCACAGTGTGCTTTAACATGCTAACACGATTCACAAATTCAATCATAACATAAGCAATTATTTACATTATTTTTCCCAAAGAGACTTATAGCATTAGATGTGAGTTAAACACCATGCAATTGAATATTAAAAGTTATAACAGCATCCAAGTGCTTAGAGTGTTATATCAAATCAATGTTCCATAAATTATATCAGGAAGCTATTATTTTTGACATTTATATTTGTAATTGATTTATTTATCCATTTATAAATTATGAAGTTTTATTTATTATGATAAACATACATAATTGCATGTATAATGACATGTCATACATAATACATACAGATTTTTTAAGCTATCTTTTTGTACTTACACTTAATACCAAAGACAATGGAAGCTGTTAATGAGCCCACGCAGAAAACACATAGTATCACGATCACGACACATTGTGTTCCTAAACAAGAAATAGGGACATAAAATTGAGTTAGAAAAAGTAGGTGAAAGGGAGAGGCCAGGATAAGACTAGACTGAGTGAAAGAAGGAATTAACCTTGGGCCTTTCAACCACAGAATTGTTGACTCCATGTAATAGTAACAGTCAAAAGAGAGCTCACTCTTTGAAATGCAAGTCATAACTTGGAATACATTTGATTGCAAAAATGTCAAATTGAACAGGTTTAATGACATACTTCTCTTACGCTTATACGATGATGCCACAGCCTTACTATGTACGAGTTATATGTATTCTTTCCCAAATATTTCAGAGATCGTGGCAAATGGGGCAACAAAATACTATTTGATTTTTGAAAGCAAAATACTACGTTACATTTCCTCATCTCTTTGCAGTGTCGCTTGAGCGTGATTGGTTCAAAGACACTTCTTTTCAAACATATAGTTTTGGGTGAGGAATGTTTTCTTTTTCCAGGTAATTTTGCAACTGCTCAGGAAAGAAAAATGAAGATTGCGTAACTGGTTGTATTCTCACACTAACCAGAGAAAAATAGATACAATTTATGTGTGGATAACATGGTAACCTGAAAAATGTACCTGCCCAAGATTCCCATATCTTAATCCCTGGAACCTGTAAATGTCACCTCATGTGGCAAAAGAGGCTGTGAAGGTGTAATTGAGTTCAGGGTTTAGGATGGGGAGAGTATCCTGCCCGCGCTGCGGGCCCTTCAAAGTGAGGGCAGGGGTCAGAGGTCAGAGTGCAGCGTGATGATGGAAGCAGGCAGGGTGCTGCTGGCCCTGGAGATCGAGGGCGAAGCCACGAGCCACGGAAAACAAAAACCACAGCTCTGGAAAATGGGAAAGACACAGGGAATGGACCCTCCCCGACGCCGCTCGAGGGGATGCAGCCCGCTGAGACCCGGCTCAGACTCCCGGTCTCTGGACCTGGAAGGTAAGAAATTGTTGTACTAAGCCCCCGAGTCTGTGGTAATTCGTCATCTCAACAATAGGAAACTAATACAAATATTAAACTTAATAAAGACAGAACTGATTATTATAGCGGACAGCTCCAGGCTGACGAGATTTTGCCACTGTTTCGACGTCTGTTTTTCTTTCTTTCTTTGATATTTATCAATTTGTGAAGGAGTCTTTTATGCAGAAACTGAAATAATAAAAAAATATAATTTTCTTTCACTTACTTTCCAAATCCAGGAATTCTTTTTTTCCAGAGAGAGAGGGAAAGAGAGAGAGCGCTACACATTTATCAAGTTCATTGCTCTTTTTCTTTTCATCTTTCCTTACTCCTACCTTTATTTTATCATGTTAGTGTACCCGCCACATTATCATTAGAAAAATCACCTGGGTGCAATATAGTACAGGAGACGGACATAAACTGCGAAGCCTTGGGCCAAGCGATGAGAACGGTTACCTGAGCGCGTGGTGGGGGGCAGCTGCTTCTGGGGGTGCGGGCCCGGCGTGTCCCACCGCAGGGAGGTGTAGATCTCCTCGCCCTGCATGGCCCGCGCTCTGGCCCGCGAGGCGGCCGTGCGGAGCCCACACTAATAACCCCTTTTGTAGTCAGGAGCAATCTGATGAAAGAACTGAAATTGTCTATTTTTATACACCAGTGGGAAAATTTGTTAGGGTTTAGGGAATAGACTAAATGCCTCTTCATCCAGAAAGTAGAAGTTTATGAAGTTGAAGCCAAAACACAACTTGCTAAAGAAGGAAATGAGAAAGGAACTGGACTCAAGTGGCTGATGATAGGACACGTTACTGGTCTGGTTTCTAAGATGTAGCAGATGTTGACAGTAATAGCACTGGATTACTGTTAAAATGGAAGAGGTACAAAAAAATACGCTTATATATGTTATAGGACACAAAGCACGGGAATGGCCCAGATAGCAAAGACACAAAGGTAGCTCACGTTGGGCAACCCGGAGTGTAAGGAGTTGCTGATCACTGCGTATCCTTAAGTAAGAAAGAGAGGAAGGGATTGCATCCCTAAAATAAATATACACACTGTATTAGTTAGGCTAATGCAGTTGCTGTGACAAGCCAATCTCAAAATATCAGTTGTTTAACACAATAAAAGTTTATTTCTTGCTCACATAATATTCTAGCTCCAGTAATTCTGGTTAGCGGGTAGTTTTCATCCGAATGGAATCCAGGCGCCTTCTCTCTGTGAGACATAAAAGTCCTCTACTTCTGGCCATTGAAAAGGAAAGAGAAAATCCACATCTGCTTCTTGAAAGCTAGAAGTAAGGTATCCCCTGCACATGCACTAAGGTAACGCCCATGCATGGATCTAAAGGTTGGGCCTGATAAATATAACTTTTGCCTGGCTACCAAATTTTCTGTGATGACTTCACTCCAGAAGGGAAGCATGAATTATTTAGTAGGTAGATGGCCATTTCTGCCACGTCCTGTGACTATTGCACTGGTTCTGAGAAATTTGATACTTTAATTATCATCGGTCTCTTGTCCTTACGGCTAAAGGTCACTTCTCAGTAATTTCCAGTCTGCAAACCCCATCAGTCTGCAACGTTGCAACATTCTCTTTCGTTTTACTGTTTCACTGGATCGATCGCTGACCTCTGCAACAGAAGGAAACAGATGGCACTCCAGGGTAACCTAAGGGCAGTTTGTAAAGATGCTGTTTATAAAGTTTTGGGAAGGACTGAAGGAAGCAAAATAGGGAGGTGATATATGCTTTGGGGAGCTGTCACTGCCCTTATGTCTGAAGGGTCAAGGGAAGGGTGTTTAATGGAACTTTGTGACCAGACGGGGGCCATGGCCTAAGATAGAGAACAGCAGCATTTGTCAAGCCAAGGCATGGTAGGGGGAGAACCGGGGGCACAAACACCCTGACCACTCCTGTTACCCTCTGGTCACGGCCAGCGCCTCCCTGTAGCTGAATGAACTGGAAGTCGGAGGCCAAGCCTGCAGAGATGCTGCTGCGCATTTGAGATCTGCCTCCCAAGGCACAGAGAAGGTCTCAAGAGGCCAACGAAGAATATCCAGAAAATTCTCCAAGTATTTTATATGATTTTCTTGTGACCTGAGATTCTGATCAGAAGAGTAACGTGACTGAATCAATGAAATGATTTCTATCTTCAGGAGAAAAAAGAAAGAAACCATAAGCATACCCAACGCACGTTAAGACTAATGTCAAGAACACTGTTCAAGGCATTGCCGTTAATTTCCTGATTCTCTCAAATTGTATCATCGCTGAATATCAGGCTCAGAAAGCTCTAGCTTTGCTAAGTACAGCATATTCTCTAAGACATTTCTTTGGGAAACCACTGGGCTCTCCTAATAGGAGGCTGATATATTACTTGTATTACATTTGCTATGTTTGCTGTTTGTTCATTTATTTTTTGCTTTGTTTTTTTCTCCTGTCGTATCATATTCTCTGTGATGTTTTTAATGATACTACCTCTTACTAGTTACTCATTATATCCCAAGTACTGTTTTGAAGGGCTTGGATGATCACAACAGCTCTATGACGTAGGTATTACTGTGAGTGTACCGTAACTTAATTGTAAATTGAGGCACAGGGAAGTCAAGTTATTTACCGAAGTTTACGTATGTAGTAAGTGGAAGAGTTAGTATTTAAAACCATGTGGTCTGATCGCAGTACCTGTGCAATTAAAATTTGTGCTATTCTGATTTACTGTACAAAATGCTTTTGATATGAGCACCAAAACAGAAAGAAAAGAAAAAAGAATCTTTGTAAGTACAGTTTGATGGGTTACATTCGTAATTGTATTTTTATTCTTTGAAATTTTATTGTGCCATAGTGATGTATAATACATGTTTTTTTTCACTTGGGGGAGATAAAACATTAAAGTCCAGAGATGACTCATTTTTATTTTTACTTTTGAGATGATTCATTTTTAAATGGTTTTGGAATTATTAGTTCCTATTTGGTTTCTCTAAACAGAGAAAGTTAAAATAGAAAAATAATGATACTAATCCCCAAATGCCAAGATCTCAACACATTTAAAGTGGAAGCAGAATCTGAAGTATTTCTGCTATTCCCCCATAAAAAACAAACAAACAAACAAACAAACAAACAAAACAACTCTGCTTATTTATGATAGTATAAAACAAGGNAGCAGAATCTGAAGTATTTCTGCTATTCCCCCATAAAAAACAAACAAACAAACAAACAAAACAACTCTGCTTATTTATTGATAGTATAAAACAAGANGAGATGACTCATTTTTATTTTTACTTTTGAGATGATTCATTTTTAAATGGTTTTGGAATTATTAGTTCCTATTTGGTTTCTCTAAACAGAGAAAGTTAAAATAGAAAAATAATGATACTAATCCCCAAATGCCAAGATCTCAACACATTTAAAGTGGAAGCAGAATCTGAAGTATTTCTGCTATTCCCCCATAAAAAACAAACAAACAAACAAACAAACAAACAAAACAACTCTGCTTATTTATGATAGTATAAAACAAGGTTAAATGTCTTTAAATGTTAGTACCCAAAGCTGAAAAAGTAATACATATTTATTGAATGTTCATCACATGCTTGGTACTCTACTCAATGCTTCATATAATTATATTAATAATCCTCACAATTACCTTATGAGTAAGGTAATAATATTAAACTTATTTTATAGACCAAAAAACTGACTTTGAAAGAGACTAAGTAACTTACCAAAAGCCACATAGAGACTAAGTTCTAAAGTAATATTTCTTGAAATCTATTCTACTTGTATTAGAATCAAGTAGGGGAGCTTATTAAAAACACAGGACTATCTCCTCAGCCTTTCAACTGAGCACGATGACTATTTGCATTTGAACATCTAGTGTTTTCACAAGCATCTCAGTTGAGATGTTTGAGAATCATGTTTATAATTTTATTGCCACTAATGTAAGAAGAGAAAATACCTTCAGGGAAGCTGTGGCAAGGAAATGCGTTTTTTGCCTGTTATCCTGTTAAAGGGTGCCTCTCCACATGTTTATAAATATTTCATGAGTTACTCAGCAAAAACACCAAGCACAGAACTGTCAGGAAAAGAACCAGATAAAGTATTTTTACTTGCTGGTCTGTCTCCCAGCCTTTGGCCTTGTTAAGAGGCATTTACTCATTTTTAAACCCCATCAGGTTTCTTGTGAACTTTATTTTCTGTCTTTACACAGAAAATTACTGCTGTTGAGTTTTATAGGAGGTAGGTTTAGAATAGAAATTATATTTGTATAGCGCTTTACTGATTGTGGTGCTTTGTAATGAACTATTTCACACAATGAGAAGTCAATATGTTTTTCTGTTTCTTATGAGGCAGAAACTGTGCTTGGTGCTGGGCATAGAAGCTGTGAGGTATATAAGCTAAGTATTATCCTATTTTAAATATGAGAAAATGGAAGTTAAAGAGACTACATGACTGGCCCATGGTTGTACTTTGGATAAGTGATCACACCATCTAAGTTATTTTACTGATTCTAAGATTCATATTCTTTCCACAACCTTATGCTATCTTTCAAAGTTAGATATAATATACAGTTTTCAAACTTAGATATTTTGTACAGCTTCAGTCAACTAAGAGCTAACCTTTCTTGTTCCAATTTAGAATGTATGTGTTCATGCCTGAAGATGCAGTGAGTCATACGATGTTGAGATCATTAGGAATGGGAGACAAGAAGAAAGAAAATTAATAGAAAAAGAACAATTGGGAAACAAATGATTAACTCACAGACCAGCTTCTGGATGTACAGAGAAAGGACTAAGTTATCCCTTAGTATAAAGGGATATATAAAGAGGGCATATGTATAAGAGGTGTTCGTAGGAAACATAACATAAAGATGACTCCAAGGGGAATAAAGGGAAAAATAAGCAATTTTATGGCTACTGATTCTTTCATCCAGATCTTTTATTATATAATCAAGCATTTGTCTGTGACACCTGCCAATCTTTTTGTATTAGAGTACATTGTCCACCTTTGCCATGCCTGCCTTTTTCTCACACATTAAATAATGTTTGTTCTTACAGAAGGTAGGGTGAATTTTCCCATTAAGGAAATAAGCACAATTCATATTTTCTCTTGTATTTTCAGAAAGATCAAACCTGTGAATGAAAAAGGTAGACATGAGTTCTTTTGAAAGCCAAACAATCATCAATCAAATTCTGTGAACAATTTTGTTACATCAAGTGGAGACAAAATTATGGGGAATAGAAAGTTGAAAACAACATTCAGATCACTGAGAGAATGCCAACCTGCTCGGGAGTATAAAGTATGCACATCTGAATAGGTCAATAATTATTTAAAATAGGATAAGATTAAGCAGCAAGTGAACAGTAGGTACAAAAGTAGTCTGGAGGAAGAGATGCATGGGAATCTTAAGTGATTGGAAAGACTTTATCTTTCTATAGAAGATAATGCCTTTGTTTTGTCTCGAAGGGAGGGTAGGATTTAGATGAGCAGAGAGGAGATAGAAGAGCCACGTAGGGCAAGTAGCTGCATAGGATGGAAATGAGCTCATGGAAAAATAAATTGATT